GGGGGGGCTGTTGGATTTGAGTATGGGCTCAGGGCAGGCAGCGACTCAGCTCCAGCTTTGGCCCTGGGCTCAGGACTAAAGCTAGAGCTGAGCCACTGCCTAACCCAGCCAGGAGAACTATGGAGGAGACTGGGACGGGCATCCACACCCCCTGCCGGTGGGGGTGTGGGCAGGCACAGATGGGCAGGAGGGGTAGTGGCAGGAGGCAAGCATGGGGGGGTTGCAGGTAAAACGAGACAGACACAAGCACAGGGGGAATAATGGGAAGGGGTGTGGCCCCTGGCCTGACACTGCTACTTTCTTTACCACAGCAGTGGGGAGATGAATTCAAGTCAACCCCCCACCTCCGCCCAATAATTATAACTAATTATATTTTTCTATATATAGATTCTATACATGGGAAATTAGATTCTAATTCTTGGAAGGATAATCTTAAATTCAAAGTCATCTTGGATTTGGGTAAATACAGTACACATTCTTAACATGAGACACAAGAAATCCTACCAGAAGCCAGTAGTGGGGGGGAACCGACAGGTCTCAGGCAGTGTGCACATACTGCTTCTGTAGCCCTATATACACCCACAAATTACTACAAAAGCCAACTCTTCATATGTTCAGGCTGTTTGTAATATTATAAAAATGATGAATCTGCCACAAAATAATTCCTGTTTCAAAACTTTGTCGCATTACCTTTGGAAACTCTAATCAGCTGCCGCAACTGTCAAGTAGCCCAACCACCTGCTGCTGCCATGACTTCCAGTTTGATGACAGCTGCTCCTGGGGGAAAGGAAAGCTAAAGGAGCAACTCCCTATCAACCTCTAGCACAGGCATGGGCAAAGTCTGGCCTGATTCAGCTTGCAGTGGACTGTATTTCCCAGCAGCCCCTGCCCACGTCACTGAGGCCAATTTCCATGGAGAACCCTGGAGGGGCGGAGCTGCGATGGCACGGGGCCAGGGTTTCTATGGGGCTGGAGTTTCCATGGAAGCCAGCCCCAGCAGCACTGGCAGAGCGCACGGCCAGGCAGGGAGCTGCTCCAGGGCTGGGACTGGGATTCTGCAGTGGTGACAGCGTGGTCCAGACCTGGGGCAGAGCCACAATCTGCTGTCTGCATGCCCCTGCTCAGGGCACATGGACAGATCACAGCTCTGCTCCAGCTCCAGACCACGCTGTCACTGCTGCAAAATCCTGGCCTCAGCCCCAGAGTACCTTCCTGCCCAAATGTGCACCCTGACAGCATTGCTGGGGCTGGCCTCCATAGAAACTTCAGCCCCACACCTCCTGGGGTCTCCATGGAAACCAGCCACAAAACACGGGCAACAGGTGTTGGGAAATGGAGTCTAACTACCAGCCAGATCCGCCATTCTGCCCACCCCTGCTAGCAATTGAGGGTACTTTCTAGTGTTCTAGCCAGGGGGCTCTGAACGTGTGTACACCCCCATAGCACTATTTTTAAGTGATGAGACTTTTGCAGCAGTAAAAATGAAAGTACACATGGGTGCAGTTAGCAGTCCCATCAGTTGACTGCTGTGACAAGTTTGGAAAAGCAATTCAAGTTGTGGCCCAACATATATAGTAGACAAGTTGATGTTATATTCCTAACTACTAATTGTTAACAAGTGCCATTTGTTGCAATACCTAGCTTTTGTGAACCACCTGAGAAGTAGAAAACTTACAGTGATGAATTTATGGACTGGTATTTTTTCTTGCCCTTCTGCAATAGTATAGAACAGCAGATCTTCCAAGCTAGGCAAAAGACCTTGCTTTATCTTACTAGAAAAAAGGAAAAATCAAAAACAAGTTAATGCACGTACTTCAATTGTTTTAATAAACATTACGCACATTTAAAAATAGATCAAATTCACTAATAAACCTTGGATCATTTGCAGGAAGTAGTTTCAAAGTCTAATTTGGCTTTCACCATAAAATAGTAATGTAGAAGTGGCATACAAGTTCAGTATTTTTACTAAAGAAATGTATTTTGTGTTTTTACTATAGAAATGAGCATTCTAACAGCACTGAAGTCAGGTTTTGTATTGGGATAGGAAGCTTAGAAATGAATGAGCAAATGCAAATATTTATTCTATTGTTCTGTAGACCACTGGATCACAATTTTCCTACGCTGAAAAAGTTTTATGGCATAGTAATGCATTTTGTTAAAAACACTGTAATCTTGA